CCATATCATAGTGATGTCATTGTATTGGAACACTGTTTCATATGGGGTATTTCTTGTATTGTTTATTTCATGTGTATTTTCTTATTAACCCCTCCCATATGATGATGCCAATATGGTCATGTTTCTCATTTTGTGATTTTTTATGACAAATACAAGATAATAGAATGTGTTCTACTGTGGATATCTTGTATTTACAAAGTGGGCAGTACTTCAATCTTTCATTTTTTAATATTTTATCTTTCCTGTACCCACTAAATATTGCTCCATCTTGTATTTTAGTTAATTGAAGAAATGAATTTTTCTTTATAATGATGGAATTCCATGCATTGATTGTAGTAGTTTTATCTACAAATTTTGACTCGAACCATCTTCTAAAATATCCACTTGTTTGATGGGACTTCCATTTTTTGATGTATTGGTTGGTCATTAATTTCTTTATTTTTAATACTACTTCTTTTTTATTTTCACTTCATTTATTATTTCTTCTATTTTCGTTTCTGGGATTTTATGACCTAGTACTTTTTTAATTCTATTCCATATTCCTTTCTTGGAATACCATCTATCTAATATGTTATTTCTTATTTCATTCTTATACATTAGTACATTACTCTTCTAATTATTTCATTAACATATTCATCAATCAGTATAATTATTTTCCTCTTTTAATTAAGAGTTTTCTTATTTCATTACATTTAGTTTGATTATTGTTTATTTGTGTTTGAATCTTTTTTATTTCTTTCTCATCCTCTTCTCTAACTGTATCTCTCGTGTTTTTTGATTTATTTCATTGGAGATAATTTGTTCTTCTTCTTTTTTGTTTGAAGTTATTTAATAGTTTCTTCTATTTCTTTAATTTTATTTTGAAGTGTGTTAATTTCTTCTTTGTTGCCTTCTTCTTCCTTTTTCTCTTCTTTCTCTTGTGTTTTCCCTTTATTTTCTTTTTCATTTATTATTCTTGCAGTTTTACATCTGTCATTCATTTCTTTGATTCAATTTTTGTTTTTGATTCATTTTTCATTTATTTTAATATCTTCACTTTTCCAATCTTTTGTTTTATCTTTGAATTCTTATTTGTTTTTCTTTATTATTTTATTCTTATTGAATATACTTCTTGGAGAATATTATACATTTTCTTTTCTTTGCCTTCATACTTTTTAAGTAATTCTTCGTATTCTCCTTTCTCCCATTTTCTTGTTATTCTTTTAATTTTCTTTTGAATTTCTTTTGTTGTTAACCATTTAGGTTTCTTATTTGTATAATGTTTATTATCATTATACTTGCCTTGTTTTTTATTTGTTTTTCTTTGTGTTCTTCTTTTCCTAAACCCTTTTTTTCTGTTATTTCTTTTATCATAATTATTATGCATTTTATTGTTATTGAAGTCCTTTCTTTTCTTTCAACTTGAATACCTGTGTCTTGTTTGATTTTCTTTACAAGACTCTATAGTATTACTCAATACCCATGGCAACAAAATTTGTTGTATATCCTATATTGTTAAAATGTTCTAATATGATAGAAATGAGAATAAGAATGAAAATGAAATATAAATAAAAAGAATAGTTTATTTTATTTAATGATTTGATAAATAAATAATGTTTTAATAATATAAGTAAAATGAAAGATTGAGAAAGTGAATTTGTTAGAGAAATATGATTTATTGATATTATCTGAATTCATTGTGATAATTGTGATAAGATGAAGAATTGAAGAGTAAATTAAATAAATTATTAAATAATAATTGATGAAATAAAAATAAGAAGAAGAAACAGATAAATAATCATGATGAGAATATTAAGTAAATTATTAAATTATATCAATGTGTTATTCATTTTTATTATTAAAACAAATAGAGAAACACAATTTGATAATAATATAATAATTTTGATAATAACAAGATTGAATATGAAAATAAATAAAAATATAATTATAAAATAGAATGAAATAATAAGAAATGAATAAGAGTAAAGAAGAAAGAATAAATAAATATTATGAAATGAAAATCAAATAAATCAAATAAATAAAAAGATAATAATGTAATTGAGTTTGTTAAAGTAATTTTTTAAATATAATGAAATAAAATAAACAAAAGAAATAAAATAATGAATATAAAATAATAATAATTTCAATATGAAATATTAAATGAAGAAGTCATTAAAATAATAAAAGAAATAAAATGAAATCATCAAAGAATTCAATAATTTTATGATGTAAATATTAAAAGATAATATAGAAGATTAATTATAAGATAATTATAATATTATAATTAAATTATTTATTAATATTATTAATTATAATATTTTATTAAAAAAATAAATAATTTATTCCATAATTATTTATTTCTTTTATTTCTTCTTATATTTTATTTTTCTGTTTTATTTTTGATGTTAAATTTATTTCTCTTATTTCTTCTTTTTATTATTTCTTCTTCATTTTCTATTTTATTTCTATTTTATCTCATTGTTTCATCACAACTTGATATTTGATAAATTAAACGAATGAACATAACAAAACATCAAAAGAGAATAGTTTTGTTGTTAATACAATCAACGAATCTAATTATTTCAAAAATGAAAACAATCACAAATCATCAGAACTCCATCATATTCTCTCATGCAACATTCTAAACAATACCAACTCTGTGAAACTATTGTCCAATATGTAGTAGGTCTTCTATTTTCTTCAACTCATTTACTTGTTCTCATCACCATTCAAAACTCACAAAAACCATTAACCAGTAAGGAAATAGCCCATCACCTATGCTTACCTCGTCGACTTCTTCGTCCTTTCATTTCAGACTTGGTCAGAGATAGTTTCATCAACCAAAAAGTTGATGGTGTTGCTTATTACTTTATAGACTATTCAAAAACATTAAGGAACATAGTTGGCTCCTATGTCATCCTTACTACCTTACCTGAAAATGACTCCTCTTCCTCATTCCTAAAATGTTCAAATATTTTTTGTGGATGGAGTTGTACATACGAAAGAGGAATAGATAACTTTTACAATGGAGTGTTTTTCTGCGAAGAGTGTGAACAACCGATGCACGTTGTTGACAACGATCGAGAAGAAAGAAGAAAGATATTAAAAACAAGAAACCAATTAAGACCTTTAAAGAAATTACTAATGGAATTAAAAAAGACTTATTTTAGTATTGAGGATTATCCAATATTTCTTATTGAAAAACAACAAACGATACAAGAATATAACAAAAGAAGTTTCAAAGAAAAACATTCAAAAATTGTTGTTAATGGACCAATGCCATGGGAGCAAGAAGACAATATTCAAGAAACAAATAAAGAAAGTCATGTGGTTATTGAAAAAAATAAGGAGGAAGAGCTTAATATTTATGCAAACATTCAATGGGAACGACCTATTTTCTTAAAGGAAACAAAACTATTTTTTGAGAAAACATTTATAAAAGACTCTCCATTAACAAGGGAGAAAGTACCTCGTACACCTCGTTTAATTTGCAATACCATAAAAAAGGTTAGAAAAAGTAGGTCGTTAATGTCAGTAGATAGAAAAAAAGTTTTAATGTAAATGAAAGAGATACCAAGTTGTTTGTACCAGTACTTGTGTAAAAAAGAGAAAATTTTGGTTTTTATGTTTTTTTTTGATAAAAGTATAAATGAAAATAAATACAAAAAAGAAAAGAACTGAAATTGAGTTAACTAACCACTTTAGAAATGAATTGCCGTTTAGAATGTTATCCAAAAGCACATGACACG